ACATGCCCACAAAATAATTTTTCGCTACCTTATTCCATCACATGGCGCTTACAGACAAAAAAAAAATTGCCACTGAACGCGATAGTTCAAGTTTTGGCCGGCTGTACAGATACTCACATATAAACACTCGCACGAACACACTTGCTTACACAGCCCCACCACGGTGGTCTAGTGGCTAAGCTACTCGGCTGCTGACCCGCAGGTCGTGGGATTGAATGCTGGCTGTGGCGGCTACGTTTCCGATGGAGGCGGAAATGTTGTAGGCCCGTGTGCTCAGATTTGGGTGTACGCCAAAGAACCCCGGGTGGTCGAAATTTCCGGAGTCCTTCACTATACGGCGTCTCTCGTAATCATATGGTGGTTTTGGGTCGTTAAACCCCACATATCGTCATATCATCAACGCTTGCTCACACACACAGACACGCACATTCACTCAGTCACAAACATAGACACGCACATTCACTCACTCACACACATGCACACACTCACTAACTCGCTGTTCCTCGCACGCACATATTTATTTGCTCACCATCTATTTCATATATATCCACTCACTCACTCACTAACTCACAGTCACTCAGCTACTAACACACTTATTCACCTCCTCCTCTCATATTCGCTTTGTCTCCTTCACTCGGTGGGCCAATCACTCGAAAACACACAAACTTCAACGAAAAATTCAATTTTTTATTTATTATACAGTTCATTTGACTGGAGCTTCAGTGACCGCATACTTCCAGCATGTTTCCCGGAAACTTTACAACTACGGTCCGTGACGCCAGGGCCATATACGCCAAGAGAACGCCTAGAGCGTACGTTTCATCGAAATAACTCAATTATGGTTTTCTGGGTCAGCAGCTACGTTTTGAATGGTAGTTACTTTCGCGGGTCTCGATATTGACTGGCTCTGGGTCGACAAGCCCAGGCTCTCGCGATTACCCGCAAGAGACTCATCCTTCACACTACATCGAGAACTGCATTCGATCATATTTAAGAAGAAAGAAAGACAACTCGGCGGCCATTGCTTGAACTGCTCGTGTTTTCATATTATTGCGCAGTCTGCTGGGCTGTACACGGAAATGGTTTATGCATAAGCTCGCTGTCACCACTCGGTGTGGCTGTCTCTGGGGGCTGTGACGTCAAGTCGTTGATCAATTATCGTCCAGCTCGCTTAACTAAAGTATCATGTTTTGACAGAAGGATGACAGAGAAGGATCGTGGCGTATAAAGGGCTTCTTATTGCACCGCTACGACGCCTCATAATCACATCATTGGGTTTTACACGTAAAAACACCGATATTTCACGAGCTAACTTTTGATAGAAGCACGTGAACGCGTTTCGCGTGCGTATGAGAACATCAAGAGTTCTGAATAAGCAAAAAAAGACAATAATAATAACGCATACTGCGTGAAAATATATTCAAGTATAGGGCAGTTACTTACTATAGGAGTGCGACTACTGAGAAAACACCGTGTAGCTGGTGGCGTTGCCCTTTTCTTTTCCCTCCTCCTCACCATCACTTCTCTTTCCCACTCTTACCGACTATCCTTATTTTGCCCTCTCTCTCACTCATTTCACTCCTCGCCATCATGACTTTCATTTACCAACCTTTGCTATAATCTATACTTGTATACATAGATATGCTATGCTTCACCCCCTTCCCTCCTCCTTGTCCTCTTCCTCATCGTGACTTCTCTTTCCTACTGCGTCGCTACACAATTCCACTCGAGGCTATGCTATACTTTACACTCTCCCTGCCTTTCCATTTGAACCTCACATATATATGCTCTTCCTTCGCTTTCTCTGCCCCTTGAGTTATACTATACATTACAAGGCTATGCTGTGCGTCACTCTATTCCCTCCTCCTCACCCTCACATTCATTTCACACACTTTCGCTATACTACAAAGCTATGATATATGTTTTACTCTATTCCCTTCTTCTCACCTTCACATTCTTTTCACACACTTTCGCTATACTACAAAGCTACGATATATGTTTTACTCTATTGCCTCCTCCTCACGCTCACATTCCTTTCACACACTTTCGCTATACTACAAAGCTGTGATATATGTTTTACTCTTTCCATCCTCACCCTCACAACCCTCTCCCACACTTTCGCTATACTACAAAGCTACCCTATATGTTTTCGCTATACGACAAGGCTATGCAATATGCTTTCTTTCTATCAGTGCCTAGTGGCTGCTAGGCCACGCAGTGACGTCATATAGCTCGGCGTGGTGCTTTCAGCGCTACACCTGACAAATTTCTACCAGGCCAAACAGCTCTTCTGTTCCAATAATGGAGTACGTGGGTTAACGCGCCGGAGAGAGCGTCGTGGCGCGCTGTAGAACAAGCCTAACTAAGCCCAAGAGAATTGACGGAGCTCGGAGTCGCAAGCTAATACTTCACGCTTCGTGCTCTCCCGCACGAAGCCTGTGCGCATGCGCATATGGGTACTTAGCTCTTTCTCGCCTTCTTAAGCTTTCTCTCTTTCTTTCGTTGATCATCAAATACATCGTCTACGGAAAAACATGAAATACCTGTAGCAAGTGATCGTGAAATCCCAACTCGCTACTTTTGCGATATATTTGTCTGCTTTGTTCTGTTCTAACCTACTTGCTGTGGAGTTTGGGCTATAGAAAGACCCGGGGCCATAGAGTTTTCTAATATACACTAGAGGGAACTCTGGCGCTAGTGTCTATGGGAGCTGCAAGCATGGGAATGATGGGTAGTACACGTATTTGTCGTCACCTCGCCACTGAGCAGGTGCGTGGCGCGAACGTGCATGGTTGCGTACATAGAGTTTCCCAATATACACTAGAGGGAACTCTGGCGCTAGTGTCTATGGGAGGCTGCAATGCACGGCGCTTCAGCGAGCATGGGAATGATGGGTCGTACACACATTTGTCTAATCTTCGTACTTCTGGCCTGCTTTTGGCTCCGTGCGTGTTCGTGTGGCTTGGAACTGTTTTCTTACGAAACAAATATTACAAATCTTCAGCAGTTGCGCTTCACCATCTTATTCTTTTAAACTTACCTTTCTAGAAACAAAACCGAAACATAGCAATAAACGAAGCCGCAAGTACGATTCGCCGCCCGCAAGTACGGAGACTATATACAAATGTGCGTACTACCCATCATTCCCATGGTCGCTGAATTATCGCAGCGCCAGAGTCCCCTCTAGTTAATTTTAGAAAACTCTATGCCCGGGGCTACTTCGTTTTTCGATTTTTTCCGAGCAATTGCACCAAATATATTTTTTTTTCATTTTCTTTCTCTAACTTCTTTCAGAAACCTCCGCCCCAGACATTTAAACATTTAATGGGATCTTTTATTCGCGCTGGAAAGGAGTTAAGCTCATTATCTACGGGGCAGAGCGGGCTTAAAACTTTCGTCCGTGTTTTCTTTATTTGCTTCCTTTTATTTAAACTAAAATGTTACCGACAAAGAGCTGTGATGAAAAAAAAAAAAAGAAACGACCATCTCTCTTTAATCAGCAGGGGCTGTCTAAAACACACAAGAAAAAAATCTAACCTCGTGCCATTTGTTCTTTCGTAAGCACCGGTGATGCCCAAACTCTTTTCTTACTGGGGCTTCGTTCGCACGAGGCATATTTGGAGGTAGGCAGGCTACGCATTAATGGAGCCGGCAATGTCCAAAGCTCTCGGCGATTATACCCCGGATTAGTCGGCAAACACTGCGCCGCTCGTCGCAGGCAACGTGTTGGTTACGCTGCACGGGGATTAGCGGGGATTAAGTGTCGCACGGCCGCCGAGTATAGGTACGTACCTGAGTGCTCGCGTCAAGGTGTGTGCGACGTGTTTACATAATCAGCAGACGTCATGAGAAGGCCGCATGTATCCGGTACGGGAGCGCGCCCTGCTGGCCTGCGTAACGGAATTAGGTAGTCTGACTGGCTTAGGCCTTACAGTTGCAGCCGTGGAATCAGGGGTATAATTGCCGGTTGGCTTCACGTGGGTGTAACAAAAGTTTAGGGCTTGATGAAAATTATTAATTGACTGACTGTTTGATTGATTTATTGATGGATTGATTGAACTCGTTCATCGCAGGAACAGTCGCTGTTATCTTCCGTATATTATATCTTAGTGGCTATTGTGTTGTGCCTTAAGGGTAGGTCGTGGGTTCAATTCCGCTCCACGGCATCTGCATTTCTATCGGGGTGACACGTTAGAATACCCGTGTATTTAGATGTACGTGCACACCTAAAAAAACCCAGGTGGTCAAAATCAACCCGCCTTGCTACGGCGCGCCTTTTAACCGCATCATTGTTTTATTAATCTCGAGAATTTAATTGCAACTCTTTTTCTTATCTTCTTCACTCTATATATGTGCTCCCAACCCCTTACGAGGCAGATACATTTAAACGGTCTTTCACGTATAATAAAATCAAGTTAACTGACGTTTAGATGCGTTATAGTAGCATGCACTGTCTAAATGATGGTTAACGATAACTTGCGTAGGATGGTTGGTGGCTAAAATCAGCAGTCCGCTGTTTTGACCATGTATTTTTGAGAACAGTCCACGTAGTCTTCTGGTTGTTGTGTGCGACACATCGAGAACCCCACCTCAGCGAAATCTGGGGAGGCGAAGATCGTCTGTGAGCTCTTGGTAGAAAGAAGACGCATCGTGGCCAGTACCCAGGGTGTAGAGAAAACCAAGAGCTTCCCCGGGAATGGGGATAGACACTCCACCGAGAGTACAACTGTTCGCTGATACGTCGGCCGTAGTATTGAAGGGATGACTAGTGCTGGCTGGCTGAATGATAGTGTGGCATACTTTTCTTCTTCTTTTGGCACGACACACTTGGGACATAAGCTAGTAGTGGGTAGTGCTATGATAGCATGCGTGGGGGGTAATCTTGGTCTCCCACGTAGGGGAGATTCGGTGCTCCTATAGCCGAACTGTTTCGGAAATGAGCATTCATTCATTCATTCATTCATTCATTCATTTGTTCCGTGTGTCCCTGACGCATGCAGGCCTGCTGGCGATATGCGTGGCGTCTATGCGTGGCGCCCTGATGCCCAAGACGCTGCCGGGCTTCCGCTGCGACGACCCGCACATCCGGCACCCGTTCCGGGGAGACACCGTCACCCTCACGCAGATCCTGGCGCTGGTCATCGTGCTGCCGGGACCCCTGGTGCGTATACACCCCACTCCTACACGGTGCAGCCGTCCTTTGACCCACTACGCGACCAAGTCTGTTCTTCTTACCGCCACACCTCACACGCGGCGGCTATTCGCTTACTGCAAGATGGCGCGGCGCCTGCGCCCCTCCCCCAATGGCAACGTCATGAAACGCCCTGGTAGTGTCTCCGCACCCCTTTACAACCGAAAGTGAAGTTCCGGATGGCGAGTCCGGTTGACCCGGATAGCCCCGCAAAGCCGCATGGTACCAAACGTTCACAGCCAGGCTGCCTTGGTCTACCGGGGACCGCTGCTGTCGTTGGTCGTAGTAGTAGTAGTAGTAGTAGTAGTAGTAGTAGTAGTAGTAGTAGTAGTAGTAGTAGTAGTAGTAGTCATATAGTAGTAGTAGTATAGCAGTAGCAGTAGTAGGAGGAGGAGGAGTTGCATTAGTAGTAGTAGTAGTAGTAGTAGTAGTAGTAGTCATGCAGGTCACGATACTATAAATCCACGAGGTGTGACTACAGAAATAGCTAAAACGTAAATATGGTGGGGATGATGATAGTGATGATGATGTTCAAAGGGAGTATAGGCGCGTGTACTTCAAATCTAGCCGCGTACTTACAACTCGTGTTGTTTATAGCCGATCACATAGATTCGCTCGTATGCAGCTTCGCTGTCCGATGATTTTTATATGGTGCGGAACCTTTGATAATGATTAGTTTTTATTTATTTCGTAGCTCTTACTGGTGGAGCAGTGGGCCGACGGTCCCGTCCGCTGGCCGCTGGTCCGGTCCGCGCTTCGCCATTACGTGCTCGGCCTGGAGCTGGTCTCCGTGGCCATCGAGGTGGTCAAGTCGCTGGTCACCAAGCCACGCCCACACTTCCTGGACTCGTGCCGACCCGACTGGGACAAGCTCGACTGCTCGCAGGGGTACTGTCATCTTGCATTGTTACACTTAGTTGTAATGTTGACTAATAAAGGCGTCGCTGATCTATCTTGTTCGTCGTTTTTTTTGTTTTGTTTTTAAATCGTGGTAATGGCGGTGTTGTTTTCATCGGAGTTCTTCAATCATACAAGTTGCGAAAGTATGCAGATAGATAGATAGATAGATAGATAGATAGATAGATAGATAGATAGATAGATAGATAGATAGATAGATAGATAGATAGATAGATAGATAGATAGATAGATAGATAGATAGATAGATAGATAGATAGATAGATAGATAGATAGATAGATAGATAGATAGATAGATAGATAGATAGATAGATAGATAGATAGACGGACGGACGGACGGACGGACAGACGGAGGACAGACGGACAGAAAGGAAGGAAGGAAGGAAGGAAGGAAGGAAGGAAAGGGAGTCGAGTCGTATATGCATAGAATGGAATGTTATAACAATCGGTTAAAAGAGTACGTGAGAAGCCGCTTTTTGCTCTGCTGGTTAAAACCTTGAGGGAGTTGAGGCGGGCTCTGAAGTGGTTTAACAGGAACATGCGTGTCCTATAGTTGTCGGGCTGAACACGTCAGAACCCGATGCTGCCTCAAGGTTTCGTATACCGCAGATCAAAAAACCGGCTGCCCGCGTGCTCTGTATACAGCAGACGTGGCCGCGACTGTATTGATTGAGAGTTTTAGTACTGCGTACGCTGCGTACGTGGCGGCGTTGCGTACGTAAGGACGCCGCGTTCTGCGTAGTGCGCATGCGCAGACCGCAACGCGCACGTATCGCGTTACGTACGCAGCCGCTACGTACGCACGCATGAGATGCGTGCGTGCGTACGTATGAGGTGATCGCGCCGCTCTCGAACAAGTTCGCGACAGCGCGAGACTTCGTTTTGCAAAATGGCAGCATCGAAGGCAAGCACTGACCGGCTCTGTGGCTTAAAATATGGCCATAATCTGGCTATAACACTTGTATTGGCTCACATTGGCTGTCCACAACTCGTGCTTCTATTTTGATCTACCAGATGGCGCAGCACGCTTCACGCTCGTTACGTACGCGGGTACTACGGCGTACTAAAAGCCGATTAGTGGCAAAGGACGCCACGTAACGCAAGGCGCTTGCGTGATGCGTACGTAGCACCATTCCGCAGTACTAAAACTCTCTAATATACGTATTCGTTTGTGTTGCAGCGTGGTGACGCAGTACCAGTGCGCCAATGAGGAGGCTTGGATACTGGTCGACATGTACAAGTCGTTTCCCTCCGGTCACTCGGCGCTTGGCTTCTACCTTTTTACATTCGTAGCGGTGAGTGGTTTTTCTCCTCTTTTTTTTTTCTTCTACATTTTACTCTGTCGAACCTGTTCCGTGAATGTTTAAAGAGCAAAGTTATGGCCGCGCAGTTACTTGCGCAAAATAATTACTTCGCGCCTTTGCTCTTGAGAAGCCAGGAACCAAATCCAGACATTGTGAGCGGCGTGTCATCGCTTCGTTTCCGTTTTCTCATCCACTGTGAACCAAGCTTTCTTATGGACTCCGGCAATGAACGTACAGGGAGGAGCGCTGAGATGAACCCCCTCCCCCATCAGAGAAATAAGCGTCTGAGGATGACTGTAATGTCGGTTAATATTGGTTATTATCGGCTGTTGTATACCAGGCAACACCGCCTTTATTCAGCGTCAACCCAATGACTGTTGCCCACCAACTGCGGCGCGTTTTGAAAAAAAAAATTGCCGTATTAGACAATTCGCAAAGTCTGCGTTGTCAGTTTCTGAGTTCCCTCACCTCAGTTATCGTTGGAATAATCGATGGTGTTCCTCCAGAAGGACCGAGATCGCAGTTACCAAAATACGATGCCTAGTCCCCCCACTGAACATTTACCTACACGGGTCTGGTCTGGTACAGTCACCTTTATGCAGCCATTGCAATGAGTGTGAATCTCTTGATCATTTCTTTCTAACGTGCAGATTATTCACCAGTCAGAGGAAAAGACTTCTAGACGGACCGCTTCGAAGGTTGAGATTAAATTTATCCCTTCCGGTTCTTTTTTTTAGGCGGGGGGGGGGGGGGGGGGGGCTACCGTGCTGGGTTTTGACCTCAGGAGCGTTTGCGAAGCCGTTTGCGATTTCCTTTGGGAGACGAGAAGAATAGGATGCTAAGTTCATCGTTTAAAAAGATATCGAAATCAGGCATATTCTTTAAAAACTTAACATTTCGAAATTATGAACATTTTTTTATATAGCAAGTCACTGTTCGTTTCATGGCCGATCCCCCATGGTTGGTTGCGCCAGAATAAAAAGGACAAACAAACAAACCTTGTTATGTGCACGGCGCCGCGTTAGGGCCATTCCACGTGCTTCCCGCACAGCCGCAACGCACGTGCCGGGACCCCTGCCGCACGCAAGTGGGAGACAAATAAGTCAATTGGTGACGCTCTTTCACCCTCCTTAGCGTCTCCAATTGGCTTGTTTGTCCCCCGCTTGGGTGCGGTAAGGGTTCCGGCACGTGCGTTGCGGCTGTGCGGGAAGCGCGCGGAACGGCTCTTAAGGCCTTTACACGCGCTTCCCGCACAGCCGCAACGCACGTGCCGGGACCCCTGTCGCACGAAAGCGGGGGAGAAATGAGCCAATTGGCGACGCTCTTTCACCCTCCCCAGCGTCGCCAATTGGCTTATTTTTCCCCCGCTTGAGTGCAGTAGGGGGTCCCGGCACGTGCGTTGCGGTTGTGCGGGAAGCGCGTGGAACGGCCCTTACAGAGCCACTGTACATCCGCGCGTCCAAACACTGCTTGTTTCGCAGGCTTACTGCGCCGTGCGGCTGCCTTCGCTGACGTCCCGGTGGTCGCGCGGTGGCTGCCGCCTTCTACAGCTGTGCCTGTTCGTGCTAGCCTGCGCGTGCGCCGCGTCTCGCATCTACGACCGCCGCCACCATCCCGTGGACGTCGTCACCGGGGGTCTGCTCGGCGTGCTCGGAGGACTGGCCACGGTGAGTGCGTTTCGTACAACTGTCGTGGCGGCGGCGGTTATAAGGTGCGCACGATAGGCACTAAACGAAAACCTGCCCATATTGAGGGCCAAGTTTGGTATGGCGGACGTCAATTGTGCGGTGTCAAGAGTGTGCATTCGATATAGAAACACACGTGACGAAACTAAAGTGCTCGAAAAGACACAACTTGCCGCCTGCAGGGACAGAATCTGAGACATTCGGGCGTCCAAGAAGTTATTTTCTCTCTCTCTCTCTCTCTCTCTCTCTATATATATATATATATATATATATATATATATATATATATATATATATATATATATATATGTGTGTGTGTGTGTGTGTGTGTGTGTGTGTGTGTGTGTGTGTGTGTGTGTGTGTGTGTGTGTGTGTGATGAACGTCGAATCAATCAACTCTCCATCCTCTTTCATGAAGCGCATCGATTTTTCAAATGCAGCCTTGAGTAAGGGGCAACCAAAGAGAAATTTCCCATGACTTCGGAAGCCGTCCACATGAATAAGTAAATGTCCTTCGGATGCGGTGATCAAAAAGTCATCAGAAGCGCAGGTATATACCGACCGAGCACCGTCTCTACTTTCTTTCTTTGTTTTTTTAATACGCTTTATACAATAAATAAACTCGCTTGCTCCCACGGGCTAGTATATGTATAGCCTACGTATACAAATGTAGAGGGCTATAGAGAGATCGGCGGCCAGCCAGCAAATGCGTTTTTTTTTTTTTTTCGGACCGCGACTCCCGCGAGCCGGTGTCCCCCAATTTGACGAGGAGCAACGACATATACCTCAAACCCGGCTCCTTTTCTTCCTTCTTCTTTAGAGCGGGACGTAAGCCGTCCATCTCCTTTTTCCGAGTCGGCTCAAAAGAAGCCCGCGCTTCGAATCAACGCTCCCCTCCCCCACGCCCTTTTTTATTTTTCCTGTGACCTTCTTCTTCCTCTTCATTGGCCCCTCGCTTCCGACAGTTTTCGGTCATCAACAGCGTCGACGGAAGAGGGCGATATCAACTCGCGCCGGTGACGACGGACCACCGCCAACTCGTTGTCGCCGCACCGCCGAGGCTTTTTCGCCGACACACTGCCGTCGTCGACTCCCTCGGACACCCTGTCTCTCCGTTTTTTTTATTATTTTAATTTATTATATTCGCTGTCCTACCTTTCTCGTTTTCGATTCCCGCGCGTTCCGCCTCCTCACAATAGTTGCGTGCATCGAAGCAAAGGCCACGGGGGAAGGGGGGGGGGGGGGGGATCGCGTAAGAGTGCCTGTGCGTGCCTCTGAAAGCTTCATGGGCGTCGTCAAAGGCGAAAAAAATCTATCGTCGGCGTCAACGCGAGAGATGCGCAAAATCGTTGTGACACGAATACGTCACCGCATGATGCATCACCGTGACGTATACGAAATCGCAAAAAAAATTGTGACGACACTGTGACGTAACTATGACATCACATCACGTCGTTCGCATGGTGACGTCATCACGTGTCGATCGCTTGGCCTAAGGTGCGCCGATCTCGGAGGCGCCGATCACACCCGCGTCCCCCCTCTTTCTCACATCTCTTGAACGGATAACTGACGGATATACCTTGACGGATGCTGTAGAGTTACGCTTGCACGCAAGAAACCGCGCCTCAAAACGTTGTCAAACAGATTCAGTTGGTTCATTCTTGTGACAATACAAAATCCGCCTTTTTCACAATGCAAAATTCGCAAGAGATCTCCCGGTCTCTGAGGCTTTGCTTCTGGCAATGCCGCTTCTCCCGGCCCCTACCAAAACCTTACCGAAACGCCAGAGGGCAGCACAGGAACGAGAAAAAAGGTGGATTGGTAGGCTCTTTATCTATCGCTAAGAAGGCCATTAGCGAAGGCATATGTTCGAAACAATCACTGAAGAGGAGAAGGGGGGTGACCACTGCGCCAAAGGTTGTATGTTCGGCCCCTACCATCGGCGAGCTTATTCTTTCTTTGTTCTCTTTAATATCTTTCAATTCGCGTCATAATTGTTGTAATGCATGCAGTTAAAACATACACGTAATGTCCCACGTTAATTTGCCTGTTGATTTCGTTAGGTTCTGTCTATAACACTCGTCGCCTTCATGTTCTCAGTCGATATACTTGGTAAGTTAATTTCCCGCCGCAGCTAAGAGCGTGTCCCGGGCTCACGTAAGTGCATAAATTCTTCAGCACATACGACACTAGGAGAACATCGCGTCTTCTTAAAATGATTTGTTGGGCGCGCGTGTGTGTTGTCGGTTTGCGCTCCAATCTATCCGACACTGCGTCGTTTCAGTGAAGACTAACTGCGGCCGGCTATAGCTGCGTGCATGTTAAAGAAGCACGGGTAGAATGGCTCTTGGTCAGGAAAGGGGGAGGGGGGTGCAACACATACACCCGCCCTTCGCGCCCCCGAAGCTTTACAGTTTTCTACTTACATTTTTTCAATCTCGCTACATAGAAACAAAAAAGCGCATGCAAGAATATACATAAAGAGTGGTTGACGTCGGCCCGAAAAAAGAAAAGAATTTTTGGTTATGCTCTTTTAGCTGTTCGCAACTGAAGTAAGGCACCAATCCGTGTTACCTGGTTGACTTTCAATCACAATTAATCCGAAGTGTCCGTTCACAACGCGCCTCTAGATCAGCAAGTTTTACATTACACTTATCAAATCGGGATTCTTGGAACGCAATGGTGACACGATTTCATGCCTTCCTCGTATTGCACGGAAATCTTAATTTTAGGCGGAGAATAAAGCCTATTTTTCTTTCGTCACTGCGTCGGTTATCGCTATGGAGTGCGAGGACCATTTTTCTTCTCGGCGAACTGGATTTCGCCCTCTTCTCCACTCTACTGCTCGCGTATTATTTTTTTTTTTACTGATATACACGTAATCCGGTTCGCAGACGTCGACACCACGCCAAATCCTATATACGCAACCCTGGCCGTCGTTCCTAAAAATAGAAGCAGGCGACAACGAAGAATAAAGAACGCGTAGACTGGATCATCTGTAAGCCGATTGGGGACTGACATTACCCCTTTCCCAGTCCGTATTTCTCATCCACTTGGCTCTTAGACTCTATACCCGGGACCCGAATCCATGGAAGTGGCCCAACGACCGGGGCGGACTCTTCACAAAGCTCTTCGTCTCTGGATACCCTATTGAAATCCGATCCTCCCACGTAGCGGAGGACGCTCTTTCTCTGACGTCACTTTATGTATTTGTCAATTCCGGTTCTCTTTCTCCTTTCCCCTTTTGCCTTGAAACGCCCGTGTCGTTCTTGAAATATTTTGACGTTGCCGCCACTCTTCTTAGAGCTACAGAGAGTGTCTCAAAGCGTTGGGAAACCTTATTTTTCCCGAGGCGTCCGAGGGTGGACCCTATTACGCATGCTTCGCATACTCTCCACCGGGGGCGCTTGGAAAGAGACGGCAACGCTCGTTTTTTTATTATTTATTTATATTTTAATTTACGACGACGGGCAGTGAAGTATTGGCGCATATGTATACATTTATACATATATGCAGGTATACGTACGTAGGAATACACAAAACCTGAGGAAGATACGGTGAGTCATCGCTATACGTGACTCGCCTTTTTCATAGTTGGCCCACTCCATCACTTCTTGAAAAGTTCAACGGGAAACCTAAGTGTTGAACTTTTTTTTCGGGAGTATAATGACAGACCTCGATAGAGTTTGAGAGAAGAAGGCATAAAACGCTGGGGAATGAAAGGGAGGAAAAAATACTATAGAGAAATAGAAAAAAAGACGGAAATAGAACCTAACGGTGCAATAGATATGATAGAAGGGGGACTGTCTGTAAGGAGAAGCCGAGCTCGGACAAATGGACAGAAGCAATGGCGCGCGTGCGGGAGTCGACCTTTTTTCCCCCTCTCTGTCGTCTTCGGGCGAGCCCGCCCTAACGCGCCCGCAAAGCTGTTAGCGATGGCGGTAAGGGGGGGCACAGCGACCGGGGTATGGAAGGCGGGGGTGGGGGGGGGGGAGTGTGCGCAAATGTCGTAACTGCCGCCCGCACGATTGAGCAGACGACAAAGGGAACGCGAGATTAGACCAACGGAGAGAAAAGGGAAAGCTAGCGGGAAAGGAATGGGACGAAAGAGGAGGAGTCGTACCAGGAAGAAGGTCAGCGCCGTTCCATCACGAAAAATATGAAGCTTCTCTTTTCCGTCCCCCCCACACCTCGCACCCCTTTGTCGTCTCAGCTTTCGGCGTTTCGTTGAAAGCGAAAGGATACAAAATTGGGAAGCGGGAGTCCCTGACAAAGCGGCAGTAAAAAAAGGGGGACATCTCTTTTAACAAGGACTCAAATATATCGCAACGTATATCAGGCCGGTCGAGTAATGGTAAACGCAAGCATCAACGTATAGGACTTCGCAGCCACACTCCCCCCCCCCCCCCCCCCCCACCAAACACCCACTTTCCGTCCCAGCGGCTGGCGTTTTCGACCGTTTGTGTCTGTCCGTCCCGACGTCCATTCCATCGACAACCGGTCGTCCGCTGGCTGCGACTTTTCCTCGGCCGCAACTGCGGTATCGGACGATCGTAGATCACCGCCTACGAGTTTTCTAACAGCCGAGGCGGTTTCGTATTGATTTCGAATCGAGCGCCGATCGTGTTCGCCGTACCCTACCCCTCGTTCTTCTTACAATGTCCAGTCTCGTGTGTGTGTGTGTGTGTGTGTGTGTGTGTGTGTGTGTGTGTGTGTGTGTGTGTGTGTGTGTGTGTGTGTGTGTGTGTGTGTGTGTGTGTGTGTGTGTGTGGAAACACGCGACATGGCGAGAAAAAGAGGCATAGCTCGTATGCGGTGCTTTGTGTGGAAAAGGCGCGTAAAAAAAGGGACACTACACTGTAGTGGGTGGACGGCAGACGCAGACGGATACGTATGGCCTGACCAGGACAGTGCTTCACGAAACCACTGCTGGGTGCCGCCTGCCCCTATTCCATCCCTTTTATTTTTAGTCTCACCCCTTTCTTCATTTTTCATATTTTCATTTTAGCTTACTTTCGAAGGCTTGCCTCCTCTATATTTTGGTGTATCCATTAACTTAACCTTCCTCGATTCATTCTATCTTATTCATACTTTCTTTTCTTGCTCTATATACTGTCACTCATTCTTGATTATTACGTTCACACTTCCTCATTCATATGCCTCTGCTTGTTTGCTCCTCTTTCCAATAAACCCCATCACTTCCCGATTCCCTATTCGCATTTCTTTCCCTTCTCCTCCGTCTTGGATGGCCTTCTTTCCTTTTTACCTCCTCCATTGGGTTAGATCCCTGTTACTTCAATTCGTATACTTCTATTTCCAATCTTTCACCTTTCCTTCTTCTGCCACTCATTCCTTTCGTTCCCAATTTCTGAATTATGTCTCTTCTGTCAATCTGCGTACCTCCCTCCCCACTGCATTTCATTCAATATTCTTATTCTCCATTCGCTCATTAAATTTTTTCCAGTCTAGGCTGCCCCGTTGTGGCGGTCTAGTGGCTAAGGTACTCGGCTGCTGACCCGCAGGTCGCGGAATCGAATCCTGGCTGCGGCGGCTGTATTTCCGATGGAGGCGGAAATGTTGTGGGCCCGTGTGCTCAGATTTGGGTGCACGTTAAAGAACCCCAGGTGGTCGAAATTTCCGGAGCCCTCCACTACCGCGTCTCTCATAATCATATGGTGGATTTGGGACGTTAAACCCCACATGTCAATCAAACCCAGCCTATAGGCTAGTGCCCCACGTTGCACTCGCTTCATTCCTTCATTCATTCCTTAACGCTTTATCATTTGATATCATTGTTCTTTTCATTCCTCTACGTTCTGTATATCGCTGTCCATTCCGTCCCTATCACTTCCCCATAATCTTCCCTCCCCGTTATCTTCCCTTCAACGTCCCGCTTTGCTCACTGTCACTTCCTTCTTAATTCCTTGTCGTTTCCCGTTTCTGTGTTCCCACCGTGCCCATCGTTTCCCTCTATTTTCTCTCCACGACAAATTTCTCCAACGCCCTTCTTCATCCCCCTGCCACTTCCTTACTATACTTTCAGTTCGATTTCGTTCTTTTTACCTCCGTTCCGTTCTCATCACTTCCCTACCCGCCAACTTCCCTTCAGCGTCCCTCTTCACTGCCTATCACTTTCTTGTTTCTTTTCTTAATTAATATTCTCTATTATTCGTCCCTCCTATCATGATTTTCTTTCTAAATTCTTCTCTCCTCATTATCTACCCTTCATCCTAATTATTCCATCCTCTTTTTTCCCTCGATTCGTTACCTCTTTCGATCCTTGCGTTCATTTCGCTGCTCGCATTAATTCGCGACCGTGCCTTCATTCTTGCGCGCGAAGATAGAAATTCCTTTTCCCGGTTTCTGTCGTGTCGTTCCTGCTATAATTTTTTCCCCAATGACTTAGTCCCCCCCATCTCCCCTAACACACGCACGTGCATTCGCCGGCCCCTTATTCCGCCAGCTGTTTCGACTGACACGCTTTTGCTGAAGTACTGTCTAATGGTTTCGCCGCGGCATTTAGTTCGGTCGCGCACTATAGCATGCATCTATAGTGCGCGGTCTCCCGTGCAGCCTTCACTCCCTTTGTTCCCATTTTCCTTATTTCGAAAGGTCCGAGCCCCCCAATGCATACACACGAAGACAAGTTCCAGAGAAATGAAAAAAAAACAGGCATTACGGCGAAATAAACTCGTTTTATTACACGTCCACGCTGCTTCTGCCCCTGCACGCCGCGTCCACAGTGTCTCGTCGGGTTTAATCTTCCCATTCTCGGAACCATGCTTTGTCACCTTTTTTTTCTCTCTCTTCTGTTCTGGCGGCCCATGCCTAGATGTCCCATAGCTGCCGTGGGTTTTCGGCTCGCAGTCTCTTTTTTTTTTCGTTTTATTAACCCGGGGCCTGGCCTTTCGTTTTTCGTCGCGCCACGCGGACTCGGCTGCGGTCCGGCGCCGTATTTGTTATCCGCTCTGAATTGTGTTTTTCTTTTCTCTTGTTTCGTCTCTGCGTGTGTGGTGTATGTCTGATTTTTATGTTTTTTTCATAGCTTTCGAACGTCCTTGGACCACGGCCGCTTGTGAAGTACATGCTCAGCGGCGCAACAGAGCTGCTTCTTTTTTTTTTTTTATCAAAAAAGCAGAGAGAGCCATGTTTTAATCGCGTTCCGTGTTCCGAAATGAGCTTATTATTCCTGTTTTGGCGCCGCTTTTCTGCTTTTTTTCTATCAGTGTCCTACCACTTTCTGCTCGCTTTTTATCTTCGCGTGCCTTCTGTTTGTCGTCCGTCCTTTTTTTTTTTTCTGCCGCTTTTCGTTTGCTATAGTCTTGTCTTCACACTATACAGTCTATACCGCGTTGACTCGGCTTTGTGCGGCGCATTAATTTTGCAATGCTCGCGAGAGCAAAATCACGACGAACTCGTGAACCAGACGACGTGTTGTAGTACGTCCCGCACGGTGGCGCAATGTATGTGCGCTGCCTCTCGTGTATAGATTTCTATAGATGTATATATGTACGACCTTTAGCGAGATTAAATCCCATTTCGCTAACTGCAGCGCTGCGTTCGTTCCTTAATGCGGATCTTCTCTGAATCGCCAATGGCATCCCGTGCCAGCCGCTTTGTGATCCTGTTCGCGACGACGTACACACTATACGGTAAGCTCTCTCGAGAGCTGTTCCGGTCACTGCCCCTCGAATGCACGCTAGAGGGCGCCCGTATAAAAGCACTCGCCGTGCTTCTCTCGCTGTTTTCTTGGAAGACATCTCGCTTCGCCTTACACACCGAAGTATATATACTTAATCCCGCGTTTTATTTACCCTTTTTTTCTTACTTTTCGTAATGTTTCGTTCGAGTTCCACGCCGAAGTTCCGCGAATGGGACTCCTTTTTCTCGTTTCGAGCTAAGCCTAAATTTTCTAAGTTTCTACATTGATGTTTACACACAATTTCGTGCGTTTTGGAAAATGGCTGATAATTGCTGATGCCATTTTGTAGTGAGAGGCAGGATTGAACGAGGCGAAGAATTCGCGAAAGCGTGCTAGCGACGGGCCAAAAGTAAACAGGCACCGTGCAGTGGAGTTTACCGCGTGCGACGGCAGCGCCAGAACACAGCCTAGCGAGCGGATAGCGCAAAATTGGCTCGTGTGTGCACTAAAGGCTCGTGTGTGCACTATAGGCTCGTGCAAATTGGCTCGTGTGTGCACTCGTGTGGCTCATCTCGCCAGCCTACGCGTCGTCTTTTAGCAAAGCCGGTTGTGGCGTCTCGAAATGAGAGCCCGCCCTGCGAACACACCTGACACAGTAGGTGCGGTCGCACAACGACGACATCGTCAGCCGAATCAAAATACGTCACTACTGATCAACACGCTATACAAGCTTACACAATATTCAACACACTCAATCAACATAGGAACAAACACAAGGTGGCGTCGCCAACGCTCGACTCACCACGAGGAGCTCATAGAGTTTGTCAATATACACTAGAGGGAACTCTGGCGCTAGTGTCTATGGGAGCTGCAACACACGGCGCTTCAGCGAGCATGGGAATGATTTACTATTCAGCGAGCATGGGAATGAATTACTAATCTTACGTGACCGCCCCACCCAACTTCGCCGCCAGGCGTCACTGCTGGCACTACCGCGCTAACCATAATGACGATGGTGGTGAATCCTAAATTCGGCCTACGCGCGAAACACGTGCGCCACGAGGCGCAAGTGACTTTACAAGCGGTGTTAACGCCCCCACATCATTTACCCTATAAGTATGGAATCGCCGTACTGTCGTGGTCAAAACTTCCTTAACGTGATTCGTAGGACCTACATGATCATCGCGATACGTTACTGTGCGCATCGATCAACTTATTTTCGGATCGTGGCGCATTTAACGAGGAACCTTTATTTAGTCTATCGGTAGATTAGCGGTCATGAATACTGCCGTGATTAAGCGAAGAATTGTGGCACACATGTATCTTATATTACATTTTTTTTAGAGCGAATGGCCAGTAGCAGCCATTGATTGATTGATATGTGGGGTTTAACGTCCCAAAACCACTATATGATTATGAGAGACGCCGTAGTGGAGGGCTCCGGAAATTTAGATTACCTGGGGTTCTTTAACGTGCACCCAAATCTGAGCACACGGGCCTACAACATTTCCGCCTCCATCGGAAATGCAGCCGCCGCAGCCGGGATTTGAACCCGCGCCCTGCGGGTCAGCAGCCGAGTACCTTAGCCACTAGACCACCGCGGCGGGGCGCCAGTAGCAGCCAACAACTGCCGAAATTAACCGGTTCTTGGTAGTCTTGTAGTTCTGTCATTTCGATTATGATTTCATGTAGACAACTGTCACGTTGTCACCTAGTGTGCCTTTCTTTTAATTTAGCCTTCGCAATCACGGTGTTTTATTAGAGAACAGGACACAGCTTCTGAATGAATTCCAGTTTGCTTATCATACAGAATGATTCATGTTTCCGCATTTTCGAAAGCAGCAGCCATCTTGTCTGTACATTCGGAAAGAAAAACGGACTGGAAGTGTTTACATTCGCTGTCATAGAATGGACGAATTTCAGTGTTATGGATGATAATGCTGATGATGATACTGATGATGATGATGATGATGATGATATGATGATGAACACGCTGGTGTCGTATAACTCGCAATTGTCTTTTCTGTGTTATTATTGCAGGTGCGGTGGTTCGTGTCTAGCAGTCGACATCGCATCGAATCTAAAGCCCAGTGAAAGAGAGCGAGTGAAAGAGACAACACGAGACTCAGCGTGACCGTTTTACAGCCATAGTAGTGATATATCATACACATATATCTATTCAATTACGCCCTCGTTCGACATTCCAACGCCGCGCGTCGAAGCATGACCTCACGGCTTCTTCTCTGTCGCTTTAGTTGTTACTTGATTTTTTTTCATTGATTACCATATTTCATGTATTGGCTTTCGTGTATACTTGGACATCGACCGCCTCCATTATTCTGAGGAATCCAATGGTCAAGGATGGTGCCAGGAGAAAAAGCGCGGGTGGGGGGGGGGGGGGAGCTTCTCTCCAACACAGTACATAACTTCCCAGTTCCCCCTCATCACCCCACCCCCAAATAAAATAAAATACCCTGGCACCACCCCTGCCAGTATTGTTCCCGTGTATGCTCCAACATGAACGAGAGTTGCGCAGCATAGTTTCGATTTTGTTCCGAAGCTATGCGTTAACTTTTCACGTGCACGAAAGTCAAACGTAGCACTCGTGTACACGTGTCGCTGCATCGAGCTTTAACATGGTGGCTCCACCACTCGGTGACCCCTGGTGGCTTGTGGAGCGGAACGTCGTGTGAAGCAGCCTTGCTGGTGTTGTGTTCGATCACGTGATATTTTTTTTCGGGTCGCCGTAACTGAAAATGTGCATGGATAAGATAGGCGCAATTCTTCTCACTTTGGAAACATATACAGGGACACTGCAAGCTGATAGTGCATCGATGCGCGGAGGCGAACGAGCGCATCGAGGCACTCTACAAGCTGACAGATGCGCGCGCCACCTGTGGCGCAACACCGAAGCTTGCGATGCCGTAGCGTCAAAAAGCACTTGCTCACATTTTTTTAATTCATTTTGCTGTTCGCACTTGCCGTTACGTTTTGGTAGTCCTGATCATTGTTGTCTTGTGGCGGTATTTTTTAAAGTGGGATCTCTACTTCTCGATTCGCGACTTTTGTAACCCGAGTACGTACTGTGCCGTCGTGACCGCCTCCTTTTTGTGTGTGTGTGTGTGTGCGAATTTCATCTATATGGGTCGCGCCGCGTGAACAGTCTTAAAAATATCGCGGTAGATCACGTGGTCGGCCCGGGTATCGTGGCCGATGATTCATTAGAACCGGTCATCGTTTTGTACGTGTTCTGCTTGGAAGAAATGTCACAACGGAAACACAGTAAACAACGCTGGTCAGAACAAGGCGAACAAACCCAGACCTCGTGTACCGCTTTTTTTTTTTTGCTTTTCTTTCTTTTGTCTTGTTGTCTGCGCTGTTTTCAGTGACATAGCCGAGGTACACATACTACAGATTAACTTGGTAGAAGCTGGCTTATGCTCTAATGATTTGATTTGTGGGGTTTAACGTCCCAAAACCACCATATGATTATGAGAGACGCCATAGTGGAGGGCTCCGGAAATTTCGACCACCTGGGGTTCTTTAACGTGCACCCAAATCTGAGTACACGGGCCTACAACATTTCCGCCTCCATCGGAAATGCAGCCGCCACAGCCGGGATTTGATCCCGCGACCTGCGGGTCAGCAGCCGAGTACCTTAGCCACTAGACCACCGTGGCGGGGCTGGCTTATGCTCTAAGCGTACGTTCTGATAATTTGATATATACAATATTTCGATATAACCTCGAGATTCGTGTATAACAAACTGAAACAAGCTGTTGTCATACACCTGTTGTAAAAAAATGCTTGTGAACTAGTGAACCAAGCAAGAACTCCGTCTCGAGGAAACGAGGCTGTAATAACATCGACCAGTTTCTCATGCAGCTGCTAACCTTATGGTCGCGGGTTCGACTCTTGCCGCATTTCGACCGATGAGAAATGCTAGTGGCGTGTCGATTTGATTGATTGATACGTGTGGTTTAACGTCCCAAAACCACCATATGATTATGAGAGACGCCGTAGTGGAGGGCTCCGGAAATTTCGATCACCTGGGGTTTTTTTAATGTGCACCCAAATCGAGGCTAGTGGTCTGTGTATACGTTGTGATGTCAGTGAACGTTAAATAACACAAAAAACAGCCGAAATTTTGGGAGCCCTCCACTTCGGTGTGCCTTTGTATCGCAGTTCTGGCACATGAAGTCCCATAAATTGTTATTAGTATTAACATTTGCCAGTGTCCTACCCAGTAAGCCTGACGAAACATTACCTGAGAGGCAGCTGGGAACGATCATGGCACGCTAGCCGGGTAAATGTGGTCATGCGTCTTGCTCTACCATGAGATAAATAAGGTCGTTGGTGGATGCATATCGTATCTTCCCCGAAGTGAAGATACTTAAAATTCTCAAGCGATGTGGAATTAGCTTGGAGTCTGACTGAATAGGGAGACGGTACACAGTAAACCAGTCAGCAACCTTAAGGGTGACGTGCGTGTCTAACTAACACCCTACAATAAAGGTGTTTTGTCAAAACAAAACACCTATGTTGAGGGTGTTTGGGTTTGTCAAAACACCCTTGTCGTAGGGTGTTAGTTGTAGACACCCAAGGCACCCTTAGTAGTGCGAACTGGATTATGTGCTAAGCCAATAAAAAAAAAAGAAGTCGAATTATTTCGAGAACTCTTGTAAGGGAAAAAAAAGAACAACTCTGGGTACCAAAATTTTCTTTTGTGACATTTCTTCTAAGATGACCTAAGAGCATATTAGTTATGCCCGTTTAAGCGTTGCTATTTTATCGTCGCGCTCACAGGCATACACGCATGTACTTTCGTGTGCGCATGCGCAAAGCTCACTCACTCACGCACACTAATCAAGAGGGCACCATCGGAGACTTCTGCAACTTAAACCGTCCTGCTTAGTTTTTTTTTTTCTAATATCCATCCGTGTGCATCGAAGAGTTATCTACACTCTGAGATAAAAAAAGACATTATCGCCAAGCCATCGTCGTTGCTGCAGGCGCACTTTTGTCTCTTACACAGAAGTCGCTTTCTCACCTTTTAACATCGTCGTGTGACCACCGTTGTTGCCGTGCGGTGGCACAATGCCGCGCACAAGCACGCACGAGAACGCGACGATCGAAGTTCATCTTTTTTTTTCTTCGTCTTTTTTCCTCATCGTCCGAGGTCAAAAACGCGCTTCTATTTCGAAAGCTCGCGTATTGGCGCCCTCGTATAGGCGCTCCACTGTTCCCAGGCCATGACAGAGTGGTGGCGGTATTTTTGTACGCTGAGCGGGAATTAAAAAAAAAAAACGAAATTACGAAACGAAAGACTACGCCTGTTTGCTCTCTCCTCTCGGGGCGGGCACCTGTGAGAAGCGACCGTCTACGTCACCGCAGGTATTCCCGTCGCTCCGACGATGTTGGAGCGCGCGTGTCGGGTAAGTTACTACGGGTAAGTGTAAACGGATTAAGAAACTTCGCCGTCTCCGGATCGTGCATGCGCTGTGGAAAAGACACCCAGAGACGTTTAGTGCCACGGAGAAAAGAAACAACTCGGAGGAAGTGTCACATGACAATCGTGGAGCCTATAGTCATATATAGGTCCTTGTTACTTGACAGACAAGCTCCACTACCGGTCGGCTAGTTTTGGCTGCGTCTTCTGCGGGCGGCGTCAGAGGAGTGGCTTTCGGAGGCTAGCAGAATATTTACGCAACGTCCCCACCTAGCCTTTTGACGATGCCCAATCCGGTGTGCGGCGTGACCACCCTTACTGAGCATGCGCAACAGCTGGCCCAAGTACTAACAAAACACGCGCTAGCGCGTCTCTACCTGTATAAGGAGTTGTGTAGGAGGCTGGAGCCTCACCCCCTAACACTCTCTACAATCACGTGATAGCGGCGGCCAGGGGCGTAGCCAGGGGTAGCACACCGGGCTCGTGCCCCCCCCCCCCCCATTTTTTTTTCGCCATAACATGGAGAGCGAGAAATGACCGTTGCAAGGGTGTACTCATCCCGAAATCAAAAGAGTGACGTGACCCCTCCCCCCCTCTTATGTCATTTTTAAAGGGAAAAGAAGAGAAAAGTGAGCCCCGTAACTGTCTGCATCTGGTGCGACACCTCAACAGTAGCTCACAAGTGATGGGGGTAAGGAGGGATTAAAAGGATAGGATTAAAATGTGTATGTGGAAAGAAGAAAGAGAGCGAGGCGCAGGGACAGCGAGCGACGGAAGTAAAGAGAAAATAGGAAAGATGCACACGGTCGCAGGAGTCCGTGAATGGGGCACCACTTGACGAGAGCTCTTGTTGGCGTCAGGAGATGGCGTAGGGCGAGCCCAGTCGGTCAAAGCTACGCTGTCGTCGGAGATTGCGGGGGAACAACCGGTCGGCACGGAATCCAGTAAACAAATCGCTGGCTACGCGCCTGGTGTCGGGAAACGAGATACTGCAGACGCGCGATGAACCCACGTTAGAGTCGCTCTACCCACATGCTCCCCCGTGGCGTGGCGATGAACCCACGTGGCATGCTCCAACAAGAGTTCGGGACGAGTAACAGCAAAAAGTACAGCGAATTCGTGGTGTGCTCCACTTGCAAGGACGCGTTAACATCGGGCAAGGTGCCCGTGATGAACGGGACTTCAAGTCGACCCATGTGCTGCTTGGCATGCTACTCGTGGTTCCCTTTAGTGGGATATTGAGTAATTTTCCCTTCCTCCACTTTTAGTGTCTTCACGGCGCTCAAACTATTGGTCGTTATGGTTTATTACATCGCCGGATTCGCCTAGACTTGAGAAAGGAACGACAGAAACTGATACGCAAGAAGCCAATCAATGAGCTAGCACTGAGAGGGAAAGTACAGGAATTCAGAGTCTCGCTTCAGAACAGGTACTCGGCTCTTAGTGAGGAAACCAACCTTAGCATAGATACAATGAATGATAATCTGACAAGTATCATTACGGAGTGTGCAGTGGAAGTTGGAGGCAGGATAGTTAGACAGGACACTGGCAAGCTTTCCCAGGAAACGATGAATCTCATTAAGAAGCGTCAAATCATGAAAGTCTCAAGTACAACAGACAAAATAGAACTGGCAGAGCTTTCGAAGTTGATTAATAGGCGTAAGGTATCCGACGTAAGAAGGTATAACATGGAGAGAATTGAACACGCTCTGAAAAACGGAGGAAGCGTCAAAGCAGTAAAGAGGAAACTTGGGATAGGCAAAAATCGGATGTGTGCACTAAAGGACAAAGAATGCAAAATAACTACCAATATGGATAGGATAGTTAAAATAGCGGAGGAGTTTTACAGAGATCTGTACAGTAGCCGGGACAACCATGACTTTAATACTATAAGAACTAGCAGTAACCCAGATGACACCCCACCAGTAATGATAGAAGTCAGAAAAGCTTTGGAGAGCATGCAAAGAGGCAAAGCTGCTGGTGAGCATCAGGTAACATCAGATCTGCTGAAAGATGGAGGACAGATTGTGTTAGAAAAACTAGCCACCCTGTTTACGAGGTGTCTCCTGACGGGAAGAGTACCAGAGTCTTGGAAGAACGCTAACATCATCTTAATACATAAGAAAGGAGATGACAAGGACTTGAAGAATTACAGGCCGATTAGCTTGCTCTCTGCAGTATACAAGCTATTTACAAAAGTAATTGCTAACAGAGTAAAGAAAACATTAGAATTCAATAAACCAAAGGAACAAGCAGGATTTCGAACAGGCTACTCAACAATCGACCACATTCATACTCTCAATCAGGTAATAGAGAAATGCTCAGAATATAACCAACCACTATACATAGCCTTCATAGATTACGAGAAGGCGTTTGATTCAGTAGAAATATCAGCCGTCATGCAGACACTGCGGAATCAGGGCGTCGATGAAGTATATATAAACATTCTGGAAGAAATCTACAGGGGATCAACTGCTACCATAGTGCTTCATAAAGAAAGCAACAGAATACCAATCAAGAAGGGTGTAAGGCAGGGGGACACAATCTCCCCAATGCTACTTACCGCGTGCTTACAGGAGGTTTTCAGAAGCCTAGAATGGGAACAGTTTGGGATAAGAGTTAACGGAGAGTACCTTAGTAACCTGCGCTTCGCCGATGACATTGCATTGCTGAGTAACTCCGGGGACGAATTGCAACTCATGATTACGAAGTTAGACAAGGAGAGCAGAAAGGTAGGTCTTAAATTGAATCTGCAGAAAACGAAAGTAATGTACAACAACCTCGGAAAAGAGCAGCGCTTCGAGATAGGTAATAGTGCACTTCAAGTTGTAAAAGACTATGTCTACTTAGGGCAGGTAATAACCGTGGAGCCGAACCACGAGATTGAAGTAACTAGAAGAATAAGAATGGGGTGGAGCACATTTGGCAAGCACTCTCAAATTATGACAGGTAGATTGCCACTATCCCTCAAGAGAAAGGTATATAACAGCTGTATCTTGCCGGTACTTAGCTACGGAGCAGAAACCTGGAGACTTACAAAGAGGGTTCAGCTTAAATTGAGGACGACGCAGCGAGCAATGGAAAGAAATATGGTAGGTGTAACCTTAAGAGACAAGGAGAGAGCAGAGTGGATTAGGGAACAGACGGGGGTTAAGGATATCATAGCTGAAATCAAGAAGAAGAAATGGACATGGGCCGGGCATGTAGCGCGTAGACAGGATAACCGCTGGTCGTTAAGGGTAACTAAGTGGGTTCCCAGAGAAGGGAAGCGGGTTAGGGGGACACAGAAGATTAGGTTAGCAGATGAGATTAAGAAGTTTGCGGGTATAAATTGGCAGCAGCAAGCACAGGACCGGGTTAACTGGCGGAACATGGGAGAGGCCTTTGTCCTGCAGTGGACGTAGTCAGGCTGATGATGATGATGATGACGACATCGCCGCTAGATGTCACGGCTAGCATTAACGTTAGAGAGAGATACGAAAGGCAAATAGCCTACGGCGACGCTAAATAAGCGGATTCTCGGGTAGGGCTATCCGGCACTAGAGGAAGAGAAAAGAGGGAATGAGAGATAAACGAGAAAAAAAAAAATGACTCAGGTGTAACTATTCTAAAGCCTCGCCACAGCGGATGACCGAGGGGTGACGTCACTCCTGCCACACGCGTGGCCCGACGGCTCAAGGTCATTGCGACGTGATGAATGACATTGGGCGTAGCAGAGCATTCGCTCTGACACAATGCGAAAAATAACTCCCCTTCCGTGTGAACACTCGGCTGTGAAGGATAAAGAAAAGGCGGGGACGTCATCCAGTCGCACGTCCTGTTTGCTACCCTACCCTGGGGGGAATGGGTAAGTTTGAAAAACCGGCTAGTTGAAGACTTGCGACTTGGTACTTTCTCGAAACAATCCCGGCCGTTGCGATCACATTTTAATGGCTGCGAAATGGCAGAGGTCCGTGTACTGTGTGATTTCAGAGCACGTTAGAAGGTCGTAATTTCCGGAGCCCTTCATTGCGGCTTCCCTCATAATCATATCGTGGTTTAGGGACCTCAAACCCCAGATATTATTATTAACTTTCTCGAACTTTCAGAGATTAACTTTCAGCGATGCCATCGTGAATGAACACCTATCATGTGTGAGGGGGGGTGACGAACCCCTCTCCCCCACACTCATGATCATATGGGGCGCCCCCACCCGTCCCCCTGCCACTGAGTTGATAATATCGGCGACATGCTTCAGGACGCCGGCCCATTTCCACCATCAAATGTCAGTGACGTTACATCTAATTCATCCTTGCGTTAATTTCCGGCGTTTACCTCACATTCTTGTTAACGATAATACGAACTGGACCTTTGTATAGCACCTCGATAACTATAAGCGGATGACGAGCCTTGAGTAAAATTCGCATGACAGCCAACGATGACGTCTCCCTGCCTGTAAGGTAGTATATTTAAATTGCATACTATAATTGCATATTATAGCATCTGCATCGCCACACAACTGTTTCAAATTTCGAGCCTAAACTGCCTAAACGCCTAGGTTAGCACAAGGTGGCGCTAGTGAAAAAAAAACTTCAAGGCATTGTTCAAGGATACGTCCAGTGTAGATTTTGTTACTCGTTTTGTACATCTACGCGCTCGTATGTAGCGTCTAGCCAAGATGGCGAGCTTCGTGGAGTTCTTCCACAAGGGAAAGGTAAATATTGGTTTCCTTTAACTTTACCGAGCACGCGGCGACGGACATTCCCACGCGGAGAGAATTCAACAGTCCGCGTTATCGTTCGTTTCGGTCTGATGTTAATGCAAATGCGGGTTACACGTACTGTGATGGTAGTTTGTCCTTTGCGGCTGCTGCTTGCCGTGGAACCGCCGTCCGGAACCCGAGAAGGATGTTTCGTGGTCCGCCCGTTGACCTTTGCCAGATTGCCCGACGGCAGTTTTAGAGAGTCGTTCGTCTGTGTTTACACAATGATCACTCGTCATCCATTTCTTTATACCGCGCGATGCCGTCGCAAGGTCGAAACGTAGTTGGCATCGAGTCTCAACACGCCCACGGCAGCACTGCAGCTGTTTTGCGAGAAGTGCTTCCTTAAAAGTGAACGAACCCTGCGGCATTGTACTGCACGCTGCTTTCATTTCCCCATCGTTTCTACTGAATTAGCCAGCTGACAGTGAACTACAAGCTCAGATCGATGTTCAGATCGGCTGCGGTGAAAGCGGCCCCAGGTTTATATTCGCCCCATACCTGAAACTTGCCATCGAGATTTGAGGACATTCACATCGCGCCCACATGTTTCGGTGCTACCCACTGCTGTGTCACCTTAGCAGTCCTCGTTTATTGCGTTTGCGAATTCCCCCAGCGTCGCGCCGTGTAAGTTAACGCGTAGATGCTCGGCTTCGGTGTAGTGATTCATCTGTATATTTACAAAGTTAGTGGTAGCCCCCTAACAGTAACCTATCTCTATTCGCTCGATGTCGAGCCTAGTGCCGTTGCAGGCCCGATTCCTTTCTCCGAACGGTCCGATAAGGAACGACACGGGGATCATTCCAACGCCGTGGTCTTTCGTAACAACCACGCTCGCTAAGCGACTCGTACGTGGGAATTCTTTTTTTTACGAAACAGCGTTCCACGTATCCTGTGGTGTGACACGTAGACGTAAAGAAGAAGAAAAAAATAGACAACAAACATCGTCGAAGTAGCGACAGCTTCGATTTGGTCCTTGTTTCTACGTGCCGCATGACGCGGTGGTTCTTTGGGTGGGCAAAAATAACGAGGAAAAGCGGTGACGAAGGTTATATTCGGACGTTGTTTGTTGACGCAGCCAGGCTACCTGGACAAGGCAGATGCGTCCGCTGTTACCGGGGCCTGCGAGAAGGGGACCTGTGAACGGAACCACGCCAGATGATCGGGAGTGCTATTGAAGGGTTGTGGTGGGAGGGGTTTTGAGTTGTGGTGTGAGGAGAACTTCGTCGCCTTCTCCGGGTTTCACGCGTTGAGATTTCGGCGAAGAACGCCCCACGCGCCGTCGTTTGTTAGGTCGCGGGTTCGATTCCCAGACTTCGTAACCGCATTCTCATTAGATACGTGTAGCACAGAACTCTGCGCGATGGTCAGGCGGTTGGAATCGCACCGAAGTGCCCCACTCGCGTGAAAACCCGCGAATTCAATTCACTTCGTCGGACCGAGCTCAGGAAATTGAGGCGGCGGTTTAGGCGATGCGATAGCGCGTACACGACTTCCGTAGGTTTTTTGTCGGTGTCGGAGCTCTTTTGCATCCGGCTTCGCGTGCGTAGTGCGTCTTTCCGATGTCTCGCCGAGCGAGCGCCGCATTTTTCGCGTCGCTCCGTCGTCTTCCGCCGTAGCCACATTGCGACTCTTTTTTTTTTTTTCTCCTTACCTTTACCTTCGGTGCACGGGGTTGTTCTCCGTGTGAAACTGGGAAATGTCGTCGCTTGAGGGTCAAGTTTACGGCGCCGGCGATGTTCAGATCAGATAAGGGTAGCGCACGTGCAAGCAGCTTTGAACGACGACGCAAGCCGATAAGTGCGTCCTTGCAAATATGCCGTAAGCTACGTTGGTCTAGCACGGCACCACCTCATTTGCATTCAAAGGTTGCACGCTAACTGTGCTTTTTGTTCCGCAGTCAAGGAAGCGCGACAAGATGAGCCATTTGTCTACTATTAGCGAGTGAGATGCAATACTCGTGTCTATTCAGTAATTTTTTTGCTGGAATTCATCGCACGTGTTGACTTTCGCACACTCTGTGTGTGCGTGTTTTGCCATACTGAGTGTGCTTCACTGACTGCATATTCACGATTACATTTGGACCAAAGATTCAGGAATACATGAAATGGCATAATATACTTTGTTGTGAAGCTACTTGAATGAGTGTTGTTTACTTCTCGCAGTTTTCTTCACTTGCTTGATGCTCAAGATGACATTTTAACACAATGTAGCTATTTCCCTACCTGTGTTGGCAGCATCAGTACCTAAAAAGTCGCAGATGAAGAAATCATTCTTGCTTAAATATGTATGATATTGCCTCAAACACCTGGATAAGGTCGGGAGCAGAATCGCGCACAAGTCGATCATGATGGAGAGACCACCACTCTTCAAATTTTTGTGAGCCGCATGATTGTTCTCTTGCACTTATGTTCTCTAATTCTTGTCAGAATAGTTTTGTCAAAAGTAACTGAGATGCAAGAGGTTTTTTTTTTGCTTTTGTGACATATTCTTCATTGAAAAAAAAAAATTATTTGTCTAAGTGTCCCCATAGTATTTTAAAAAGATTTGTAATGTCTGCTGTGAGAATAATTTGCAATGCTTGAGGTCTGCCTCTTTCATAGCATTTACGGCCAACCAACACCCTGAAAGCTTACAGAATGGTTTCATGGTGCTTCTGAAACAATGTCTTCATGTGTCCTCTGTAGTGTTGTGCGTTTACACCAGATGGCCTTCCGAATCATTGGACTCGCAATAGATGGCGCCACTGCGCTCGTGTGTATATAAACGATACTCGCTGATTAAACTGGGTTATTGTCATGGATCGTACTGTGGTGTAGCGTGGTTACTTTCACGTGTTGCCGTGCCGGCTACACGACATCCTCAGTGCAGTTCACCCAACATTTAAAATGCTCACAGATAGAAACGCGAAGATTTACGGCTAATAACGCATGTAAATTTGTTTCTACCGTCTTCGATTCAGGTCCAATAGGCTTAATACTGTCTTTTTAAAGAACTTAAGATCGAAAACCATACATTGGAGTGTCTACGAGAATTTGTATACCCAGGACAAGTGCTCCCGGTGGAACCTCATCACGAAAAGAAGTTCACTGAAGAAAATGAGTGGGCTGTAGCGCATTCAATAGGTGCTTTTAAATAATGTCCGGAAATCTTAAACTATAGTTAAAGTGAAAAGTATGCAACCACTGCATATTGCCAGTGTATGGGGCTGAAACATGGAGATTAACAAAGCAACTAGAGCAAAAGCCGAGGACTACGCAGCGTGCCATGGAAAGCAGAATGAATAGAATAACATTGTGAGGTCGGAGGACGGCAGAATTGGTCGTCAGGCAGCAGACAAAAGTTGGAGATATCTTAGCTGACATCAAGTGTAAAAAAAATGGACCTGGACTGGTCACGTAATACGTAGAACAGACAACCGGTGGGCAGTAGGAGTCGCAGAATGGTCACCAAGGGAAGGAAAACGCAGTCACTCCATCACTTCGAAGTGTGGTCGTGATTGGTCACTGCAGCTCTTTCTCTTGTTTCTTAGGCTATCCTGAAAATGATAGTATCTGAGTGGTTAAGGTGACAATGCAGTATTCTGTAGAATAATAAGGTCCAATATTTTCATTGCTATATTTTGCTGGTCCTTGCTTGTTAGAGCCACGGTTACATTGTGCCCTTGTTGGCAGCCTTATCGGCGTTAAATAAATGTGACAAAAGGCAAGCATTGGGTTGTGGAGCGCTAGTGCGCGATATCTGTCGCATTTGGATATACGAGCTGCAGTGCTTTGTTGTGTCAATTGCTCTTCTTTTTCAGTACTGTTTCCACACTGGTAACAGTTTATGTAACTAACAAGTCAATCCCATATTGGCTTTCCTGCCTGATGATGTAGTTTTCTTATTTGAGCGACCATTGGCTGAGAGCTTTGTAGTTATGATTTTGGCATTAACAGACTTTACATGTCCATGATTGCAAATTTCAAGATTCTCAGCATGCTGAATATTTCATGTAAGGTTACGGATGATGCCAAGAAACTGCTGGCTCTCATCATCCTGGATTCTGTCACTTTAGACAAGTTGTGAAAGACACATTAAAATGTTTTCATTTCGGTCATTGAAAGGCCCACTTTTGTAAGCGTTTCATGAAATGATCATTTTTTATTCAAATTCAAAATTTTCAATGGAAGCTGCTCTTTGCACTAACCAAGGCTAAGCACTGTTGAGGAAGATTTCATCACTGTTTACTTTGAACCTCTAAAAAATTTATCTGACTTGAGTTTTCTCTTGATTTATGTAAAATGACAGATATGTGGGCAGATCTGTTTGAGTTAATAATAATGCTAGGGGAAAAAAGAAGAAAGGGTGGGCCGTATATGGGCCATACACTCAACAAGAAATCTTATTGTTTTTATGGAAAATACGCCTCATATATGTCAAGCCTAAAAGTGGTGTATAGAACATGTCGGAGTCACTATATGTGAAATTTTTGTTCCAAGTTTAGCGCATGTACTCTCCGTTCACTCTTCGTTTTTTGTCGACCTTTGGTAGTGCGCTCATGGATTATTATGATGTCCTGCATAATTTTTGCCATAGACCCGATATGGACTGCATTGCCAACTAACCGAATCCTTTAGTCTTCGTTTAGCAGCAACCCCTCGCCTCTTTCGCTTGCAGTGCAACTACATTGAGTTAGCTTCAGCCGTAGCCTGAGCGCATGCATGAGATCAGCATGCCATCCTTCCCGCCCTTCTCCCTCCCAAAACAAATCTACCTCTGTTCTGACGATCGGTCAGTCATCGGTGCAGACGTTCCGGCCGAAGAAGAAGTTCGAGCCGGGCACGATGCGATATTCTCTACACAAGCAGGCCCAGGCGTCGCTCAACTCGGGCATAAACCTGCGGGACGCGGTGCGGCTGCCGCCCAGAGAGGACATGAACGACTGGCTGGCTGTGCACGGTAATGGGCCTCTTCTTTTTGTGTGCTATAGTTTTTTCTTTTACCTGTACTGGAAAGCTTATATGTAAAAGTGAGTCTATTAGAGTTGTGATTTCTGTAGTATCTCCATAGTCGGCAGCCAGATTATGCGCAAATCACATGCCCTTTTTTCTGCTTAGGAGATAAGGACTTCAACAGTAGGAAAATTGTTATCAGACCCCACAATTCAAGTGCTGAGCATGCCCAAGCTTGTAGTCCTCTGCACCTTGTGTTTTTGGACGTGCCATGGTTATGTTTTACTTTATATCAAGCCTGCAGCAAAATGAGTTGCTAGTTGATAGCTGTGTGATTTTAAAAATGTGCTGCTGGGTAGAAATGTCAAAGGGGTCCTGCAACACTTCTTCACCATGCTCAGAAAATGCTACCAGTCAGTAGTCAAGAGTGATTAGAACATGTGATCAAAACATCATAGCGTAGGATGCAGCCTTAACTACGCAGTTAGTTCTGGGTCAGCTAGAAATCTCTCCTTCTTCTCACTACAAGTGATGCAATATACCAAAATCACTGCGCCATGTACACAAACTCCACGGCCGTTGGCTGAATTGAGCAATGTAAGCTGCATAGATACCGTGGCCACCACCGGATGCGCATGCCCCCACGGTCACACTGAAAGTAAGCTGCACATTCAAAGAGAAAAAGAAAAGTCATGAGGCACGCTGATGAAGGGATGCATCTTCTTGTTATCCCCCTCCTTGTATAGATTTCATTTTGCTCCCTGGTACGAAGAGAAAAAGCATGTAAAGGTGTCCAGCTAATCCATTTAACTGGATTATCCAGCTAATCCATTTAACTGGATGGATACCAAACATTTTTACGACAGTCAACTTCTGAGGCAATAAGCTGTTTGAGTGAAGTTAATAGATGAGTACTTAGAAAAGTGATGCACAGGGCCCTTTTAATATGCACACTGTATATATGATTGGCTGTCTCCCAGAATGAAATAGGGTCCCAGAGGAAATGAGATGGATTTGGGGTTGAGAAACTGTAATGAGGCGACGAAAAAGTAAGGTCAGTGTACAGGGGTCGGCATATTACGCTTCGGTGAGAAATCGATGTGCACAGACATTGTACCGCGGTGCGTTTAAAGAAGCTAGAACAGTAATCTCTGCCATCATTCTGCGAGACAACTTCTTGTAGTACTTGCTTTTTTCGATGCCTATACACCAGCGTGTAAATGTCACACGCTGGTGTCAGGTGCTATGTCAGGTGCTATCGCAGAGTGATGCCTTTTCTGATATGGTTTTAGCTCTTGCTTATTAACTCGCTGTGGTGGGCAGATGCTCTTCACACTAGCTCATTGGTCAGACCCACAATCTGCTCTTTTGACCAGCCCATGAGCAAACGTAAAAAGTATCTGCCTGTTATAAAAAGGTATTGGCATCAGAAAAAGCATCGCTTCATGATAAAACCCCTGGTAGTGATCAGCTCTGTATTCACTTGTGTCATATAATTCTGTGTCATATATTTGGTGCTTTCTATTGCATGCACACATATATGTGTGCGACACCCACCAACTTCACAAATAATTATTGATCTATACTAAAATTCATCTCTGAAACATGAGGTATGCTTGTGCTTCCAGTGGTCGACTTCTTCAACCGGATAAACCTCATCTACGGCACCATTTCTGACTACTGCACTGAGGAGAGCTGCCCTAGGATGTCAGGAGGCCCAAAGTAAGTCTGCCTTTGGTTTTCTAATGCTACGACATTGAATGTTTACGAGGTGTGCAGATTTGCTCTTTTGTAATACCCTTTGCTTCAACTGTAAACCCAACAAATTTTTCAACGGATTTGGGGTGTGCAAGATTTTCTAGTACACAGCAATTGGAGGTACCGTCTGCACGGAACTGCATTTTAGACTTGATGCTCACGTCATTGCCCTCTTGCGGCTGTGCTTTGGGGATTTCGGATAATCAGTATTTTATGCATGACGCGTACATTTGTGTGGGTTATGTGGAGCAGTTAAATTGAAACTTTGATGCATTTGATCGAACTAAATGATGCATCTTTAACACACTGCACCTTCATTGCTGGTCTTCATTGCTGGTAATCTATACTGTAGTGAACTAAACACATCAAAGCATGAGTAAAGGGAAATCCAATTGGACCATGTCCAACAAATCAACCTTAAAGCACTGCAGTGACTCAGTATAACTACTCATCATAATGCTGGTGTTTCTACTCATGTTTGACAAGTTGGTCGAGTTTATATTTCGCATGGAGAACACTGGACTGGGTTTTTGTGTTGTGCGTACCCATGCTGTTGTTGCTGCATTATTACTTTCAGTGCAAGGTTGTACCGAACCTCTAACGTCATCAACACATGCGGTCGCTGGGTGCATAGTAAAATTTTGCAGCCCATATAAATGCACAAGGCACAGATAATTGCTTAAGCTGAGAGTAAAGTTAATATACTGAAGGCACACAAGGTTTAAAGTTTCAGGGGAGCAGTAAATACAGAGGAAAGACAGGAAGATTAAGTGGATGATTTTTTTTTAGGTGAGACACGCTGTTTTGGGAACGGGGATAAAGGACATAATTATTGCGGGAGTGCACTGTTACTTAACATTTCGTGGTGCTGCATACAAATTCAGCATCCTCACTGCACATGGCGACACCTCCTAGTCATAGAAGGCTGTGGTGGATGTGGTGCACATAGTAAAAGGCTGTGAGTTAGCTTATTGAGCAGTGAACGTGCATTCACACTGTGTGAGGGGAAGTCATTGACTGCAGCTCATACCAGTTTCTTCACCGGTGCGTTTCTCACTTCAATTTTTTGTTGTTGGTTAGAGGGGGCCTGCAATGCTTTTTCAAGTGATCATCAAATGGCTTCATTAGAAGAGCTTATTTGTCACGAATTTACTGCAGCAAAAATTTTAGAATCTGCCACGTGTGATTGGAGTTACAGGTTACAGAGATTTGTTGAACGCTTCAGGTATTATTCTCCCCTTTCGTATCCGCGAGTGCACTGGAAGCTATGCAGGGGGCGTTGACGTGAGGGCAAGACAACGTGTCCTTTCAAGATCATTCCCTTGAGCACTTGCCTAGTTTTTCTTGGAATATGCCGCTTACTTTCAATGTGGTCACAAGCGCACGCAAGAGGACATGGCAGCATCTCCCAGCCACCTCGGTATCTAAGCAGCTCACGACACTCAAATAAGCAAATGGCCATGGACTTCGAGTTTGTAGCGAGGTCATTTGGGTTTGTGACATCATTCAACAAGAGAATACTGCAGGATTTCTAGCTGACTATGAGAATTAATTTTAAGTTCAAGACCGTGGGCTGTGCTTGTAATATTAACCCTATCAGCCCTCGAATTTTTATTTTTGTCAGACACATTCACAGTACATTTTTACTAATAGTTAGGGTCTCAGAAGACATTGAAACAAAAAATTTAGTCAGTAGTATATAGATTTATGGATAGCCATGACATCAAATTGGATCATTATGGCCCTATAGTCATAAAATTGCAAAAATGAAAAATTTATTGCTGCTATGCCCTAGAGCTCACAAAATCTGAACAAACCTAATATTTTAAAGTGTTAAAGCTTTTGAAATAACTTCAATACTTCAACCGGAATGATAATGATGAATCAACATTTATTGGGCCCAACATTGTTGGTAGGAGGGAGGTAAAACTTTATTAGACCAAGGGATTTGGGCACTTACGTCCCAGGGTCCCCGCACGACCCCACTGCGCTATGCGTTCATGAGTTGTTGTTGGTAGTGCGTGCAGGCACCAGACGGGGCGGTTCCCTAGCTGCAGGACCCGTATGTATCTAGCAGCTTCTGGCCCCTGTCTGTCAGTGCACGATGAGTTGGTAGGGCGGGGCTGGATAACAAGGTCTCCCATTGCTCAAGGGGTTGGGGATTCGCGGTGTCGAGGGGGGGACGGGGACGGTGGGGGGTTCTCAAGTTTTGTGCTTTCTGCCAAGATGTGCGGCAGGGTGCCATTTTTTATTTTACAAAACGGACAGAGCATGTCGTGTTCCGCAAGACACATACGGTTCAGCAGTACGGGATGCGCAAGCGATTCCGCCTTCGCTCGACACAATATCGTCTGTTGTTTCCTGGTCAGGTCGGAGTGCGGTTCTGGTAGTCAGCACCTTTCCTCTCGGTACATCTGGGTAATGTCCCAAAAGCTGGTAACCGGGTGTAGTAGCTCTTCCGGCTCATGCTCGGCCCGGATTGACATTTCTCGGGCATGATAGTCGGCAATGGTGTTGCCTGCTACCTGCGAGTGAGCCGGGACCCACACGATCTCTACGGCTCTTCCCGGAGGCTTACACTTGGATAAAATGGCTCGTGCCGCGGATGAGATAACACCCCTGCAGAAGCTTCCATAGGCTTTCTTTGAGTCGGTGACCACCGTGTCCACGTTCGTCTGTACGAGTGCATGAGCCACGGCCACTTCCTCGGCAATTGCAGGGTCTTTTGTCCTCAGGGACGCGCTCACGATTAGCCTGTAAATGGACGTAACCACTACTGCAGCACGGTCACTGTGTTTTCGGAGTGAGGCGTCCGCATACATGACCTTGGGGTTCTCTTCCAGCTTCCGGGCCATGGCTTTGGCCCGCGCGTGCGCCTCTCGTCGTCCTTGCCCGTTTTCATGTTCCGGGGAAGGAGTTTTGTTTGAATTGTTGTCTTCCAGTCCTCCGGAAGGGCTGCCTTGATGGGTACTGGCTCGATCTGCCATCCTATCTTCCGTGGAACAGCCCGTTCGTGCTCCGGGTGACTGAGCCGGATTCTCTCATTAGAGAGATTGGCTTCGATGAGCTCCTCCACCGTGTTGTGGGCGCCCATGTCTAGCAATCTTAGCGTAGACGAGTATATTGGCACGCCCAGTGCTTGCTTTGTTGCCTTGCGAAGCATCGTATCGAGGGTGTCCCTATTCACCTTCGTCAGCTGGAGATACGGGGTGCAGTAGGTAACCCACGACACGATGAACGGGCGTACCAAGTGCATGACATCGTCCTCTTTCAGGCCTCGGTTTCTGTTAGATACCCTTCGAATCATGCCAAGAATCTGTTCAGTTGTAGTCTTGATCTTTGTGATTGCGGCTTGTGCCTTCCCATCACTCTTAAGCAGTAGACCGAGAATCCTAATTTGCTTTGTTGGTTTGATGGCCATTCCGTCGATGGTGGTAGTCACGTTAGGCGGTGACTCCTTCTTGGGTTTTTCTGGTTAGATTTTGAGCAGCTCTGATTTTTGGGGAGCACAGCTCAGTCCACACGACTTGGCATACTCGTGCATGGTCGTCGTCGCCCGCTGCAAGGCTTCCTCCACCCAGGCATCGGACCCAGCTCAGGTCGTCCACAACGTGATGTCATCGGCGTAGAACGCGTGGTCCACACATTCAATTTGCTTGAGCAGACCAAGTAGGGGCAGGAGGGCCAGATTGAGGAGCATGGGTGACAGGACCTATCCCTGGCGGGTGTCCCGATCGTTGAGCTCGACAGGGCCAGATTTTTCCTCTTCTATCATTATGGTCGCTGTTCGGTTTGACAGAAAGTCGGTTATGTAGCCAAATGTCTTGCGGCCACACCTGGTTTTCTTCAAATTTTGTAACACGCTCGTATGCAACACATTGTCAAAGGCTCCTTTTGTACCGCCTTTCTGCCTCTGCTTGCCCGCGCCATCGTCACCAATGACCTCGGTCTAGATTCTCCTTCTCCACGGCTCCATGCTCCGCAAAAATGAAACAACGGTGGCATCGATTGCAGTGGGGATAGTTGAAGAAATCAGTCTCCAGGAATGAGTGGGTTTGATTGTTTTCAAGGTTATACGAAAAATTTTGTGTGGTGTCGTTAATTGACGACACCAGGGCCAAAAGGGTCAAACTCACGTGTTCTCCGGACCTTGGCTTCCCATAGGCAGTGTTTGCTGACTATGCCGAAATAGGGGTGCAGGGCACATTTATATGGGTAATTCTCTGCTGCTAACATGTCTAAAAGAAATAGTGCTCATAATTGGTGTTCTATGTATCAGCAACACCTGATGTGTTTATACTTCAATGTCGTACAAGCTGTCCTTGAAAGCATGTCATTTGAACATTTTTCCTTGAGTGCTCTCCCGTGCTGGGAGACACCGCATGCAATGTCGCTTACTTGGGCATGCAGGTTTGAGTACCTTTGGTGTGATGGTCAGAAGTACAAAAAGCCGACCCCTCTGCCAGCGCCGCAGTACATTTCGCACCTGATGGATTGGGTGGAAGCGCAGATCAACAACGAAGAAATATTCCCCGTCACTGTTGGTAAGCATCGGGCATTTATTAGCTATCACTGGTATGTGCAGTTTTAAAATCTTTTCAGTTATTAACATGGTGGAATTGAAGAGCTCACAAAAATTCCCGCGTGATTGTCATCATTCCCGGCACTGTGCATGAGCAAAAGAAACGCGGCGGATGCAAAGGATAAAACTCGGGGTTTTGAGCAGAAATTGAGTCCAGGCATTGTGCACGGCAGTCGGTATTATACCTCGGAGCCACGCCACTGCTTGAAACTGCTTTAGAAAAAAAAAAACTTGGTACAGATGTCATGTGTTAACCGTGGTTATCATGCTTGGTTGCTGGTTCAAAGGTCGCTGGTTCAGTCATGGTCACGGCAGTCACATTTCAATCGAGGCGAAATGCGTCATGTCAGTGCACATCAAGGAATACCAGATTTTCCAAAGTTCTGGAGCCCTGCACTACAACGTCTCTCATAATTAACGTGGTCTTGGGACATGAAACCCCATGTATCATTAGATGTCAATGTAGGGTGAAAAGTCTCGTTACCACATGTCACACGATGAGAATTGTGCAACGAGATAATGGTTTAGAGGACCACCAATCATAATGTACTCTGCCATAATTAATCACCATTACCAGCTGTGGCATCAACCAAGTGTGTTGCGGCGTAAGTGTGCACATTGCCTTATGGGTGCTTGGTGGGCATTTCGCTACTTTGCAAAATGATGAATTACGGGGTAATGGGCGCTTCATAACTGTACTTGCATTATGCTCCATAGGAGAGTTTACATCAACCAATGTCACATGATCAGTTTGTATTTCACTTGACCAGTTTGTACTGCCATGCCATCAGTTTGTAATGCCTAGCCCAATGCACCTTCATTCACTTTTCCAGCTGTCCCATTCCCCAGGAACTTCGTGCCTACATGCAAAAAGATTTTGGCCAGGCTGTTTCGGGTCTTTGTACATGTCTACATACACCATTTCGACAGGCTCGTCGCCATAGGAGCGGTACGTACCCTGATGATGTTCATGTGACATGTGAACACATTTTTAGTGGAATTCCTGCTTTATGCCTAAAAGGTCCTGAATGTTCTTGAATATGCATACATAATACTGTATTTAAGGACACATTACACAGCGTGGAGAATAACCGTAGAATGTGTTGAGGGTTAGCCTGACGGTTTGGCGTGCAGTTTTTGTTCAAAAGCTTCCTCATCAAGGAGGTCGCGAACAGGCAGGTTAGGGCCTGACAGGCAAAATGATATGGAGTGTGGATGACTGTAGAAAACATCAAAGAACTACAGGTTTTCTACAGCATTCGAGAGAGGTTATGAAGGCAAAAAGGCGGGGTCCTTGCCTGACTAGTGCTACACTCAAACTTCATTTATGATGAAGTTGCATATTACAATACAGTCGCCGACCGTTTATTCGGACGCCAAAAATTCGGACATGCCCGTTTATTCGGACATCTTCATGGCACCGCCACACTCCCCATTGATCCTAATGTAAACTCACGTCCGAAAATTCGGACGCCCCACTGTGCATCATTCGGTTATTCGGACTCCGTTGGACTGACCGGATGCATCGCCGTATGCCATTACACGCTGAGAGCGACGTTAACAATACGTTTGCTAGGTTGCCAGCATTGATATGCTGCACTAGCTATGGATGGATGTCTGGCCAGTGTCAGAATGCACGCAGAAATCGCCATTGCCGATCTCGAAAGCTATGTTTGGCGAAGCTTTTTTTTTTAGCCAGTCGAGCGGCCAAGCCAAGCCACCTACAGTCTGTTCACTGTGGCGTTTGTCAGCAGTGTCAGTCAGCCTCTTTTGCGGCTAGGCCTGATTCGTCTTGTTGTCTGTGTTCTCGCTCTCTTGCGTTTTCCGTGGCATGCTGAAATGGCTACAATGCCACCCATTGCTGCGCCATCGGGAGTGAAAAAACACGGCCAACGTGGGAGCTACAAGACGCTCACGATGACGAAGAAAGCAGATATAATTCGCCAGGTAGAAGGCGTCCTACCTCAGTCTGAAGTATGAGTTTTCTATTTCCAAGCAAACCGTCTCGAAAGCGTGCGTGTGTGCAGACATGACAGTTTTTTCGGGCGATAGGGCCTATAAAAGTGCTTTTTTTTCGAGTGAATCCGTTTTTTCGAACTCCCGATTATTCGGACGTTTTGGCAGTTCCCGTGGAGTCGGAATAAACGGTCGGCGACTGTAAAATGATTTTGTTATATTCGAAAACTTGTTATAAATAAAGGTATATTCTTAATACTATATTGCAAGGATAATATTTTTCATTTACTTTGTTATAACCGTTATTTTGTTATATCTGGGTTCATTATATCGAGGGTTGAGTGTATTTGGAAGCAAAACAACACAAGTGTGTGTCATGCAGATGAGTGGTTCTATAGTCCATTGAAGGGGCCACTGAAGAGCGAACACTTTACAAAGCAGCTCATGGACTCTCTGTCCTGTTGTTTCTAAGTGCTGTACTCTTCATATTTACTGTTATTGTAGTTTATGAACTCTGAATAAGGTGAGGTTAGGTTACATCAGAATTTCTTAACATTTGGCCTTGTTGTACAAGGAATCTCAACTGCGCAATGCAATGTTGAGCCTCAGTGCACAAAAGAGTAAATTTTCATATTTTGTCTGCTTTCAGGAGGCCCACGTCAATACGTGCTACAAGCACTTCTATTACTTTATCACTGAATTTGACCTAGTGAGCCAAAAGGAGCTAGAACCTTTGGTAAGCCATGCACTTCCTGAAGTGTCTACATTTGAGCTGTTTGCATTTGAACAGAAGGAAATGATGTAGGTGTAACTCAAAGAGCATTTAGTATACATTTCATGTATACACTGGAGACTTGCATCACAGTCTTCTTCCTGGGTTCAAAGATTTTATCTTTTGTTTTGCCATTTATACATCCAGCACACCATTCCTTACTTGTGGCTAATTAACCGTCTAGTACATGTTTTGTACTTTGTCATGAATAGAGGGCCTTACTTGGTGTTGAATGTGGTTTCATATTATTTTGGTGTGGTCCCACATAATCAATCTTAACCATATTGGCCCCTGTGTCTGTGTATCTGTGGCACGTTAATGCTGACCCGAAAGTTATTGTTTTGTTTCCTGGCCATATTCTTATACAATGTTCTTATAGTTGTTCTTATACAACTATTCGTTGTTCTTATACAACTAGTTGTTCTTATACAACTATTCTTATACAATGTCTGTGTGAAAGAATGCTTGTTAATTGTGCTTTTTGTGCATAATAGTTATTGGTAATTTGTGTAGAAAATAATGATATGGTTATGAAGGATGCTATTGTGAAGCACTCCAGAAATTATCATCGCCTGGTGTTCTTTAACATTCACCGAATGGTGAGCACACGGGCCTCTGGTGTTTCATCTCTATCAAAATGGAGCCCCTGCAGCCGGGAATTGATCCCGCGACCTCTGGGTCTGCAATCAATTACCACAACCACTATAACACCAAAAAGGCTTAATTCTCAGGCACTCAAAGCCAATCGAAAGACGGCACTTTGAGCACCTCTGCAGCTTTGGGATGATAAACTCAATCATTTTTTTTTTTTAAGAAGAACTCTGCGTACAATATGCCACCTATAACTGGTTTAATATTCTAGAACTGGTGTGGCATTGCCTTTCTTACTAAAGCCTGTTTTTTGAACCAGTCATGTTTGCCGCGCCATTCTCTGAAAGTAGCTTTAGGTATTCCTTCAATGTCCGTAATGCTCATCTGTTCTCACTCATTGATTCCTCTTTCCCAACTGGCCGCAGACGGAGATGACGAGGAAAGTCTGCAAGGACACGGTTATCCTGAGTCCCCGCCACAGATGAAAAACAAGAGGGACGGCACGACGCACGGCCCGCCGTTTTACCTCCCCCTCTTTGTGATGTCTGCAATTCGCCGCGCTGATCCCGGCCCCTCCTTTCGTCCGTGAACGACACGTTACGTCCACCGGTTAACGCAGCGTCGATGTCACCGTGTTTACCGGCACTATACCACCGACCGTGACGGAGCAGAAACCTCTTCTAGTCTCGCTGGCACGGACGCTGCTGGTGAAAATTCGCACAAGCCATTGTTTTCTTGTTTTTTGACTCTTTCACTGGCACTTCCTACACAAAGGAGAGTGCTGCCTTCCATTTCGCTGCATGACTTTTTTCATCGCATATTGACTATATTTTAAAAGCCTTGACTCCCTGTTCACAGCATGCGAAGACTTTGTTATGTAAATAGCACAATTTTATTTCTCAGGTGTTTTTTTTTTTTTTTGTCGGCCTGCAGAGCTTTTTTTTCTTTTTTTTTTCCAGTGATCAATTTCTGTAGAAGGGCCTATATTCATAAAATCTTTTCATGAGAGCTTTCTTTGATTTATTTGGTATTCAAATGCCTACTGCCAATTTATACGCACTAGTGGGTGATAACCCTTTTGCTACCGTTAATGAGTCTATAAGTAGTAATGTGATTTTGTAAACAAATGACTGGTGACGGCTGTACTTGTCATCAACAAAAATTGGTTTTACAGGGAATGAATGAAGACTGTACTCGTCATGCTTGCGTTTCTTTGATGTTAGATGACCCCGCTTGTCCATGTTGAAGCCAGTTGTGCTACGGCCTTAATTTTACTGCCGTTTTTTTATTGTATTGACACGTGGTGAAGCCACCTTCGAGTTATTTTCTTTTTCTTTTTATGGTACTATTAAAATGAAATATTCCCGTCAAATTGAAAGAAGGGTACCGTTTTATTCTGATTAAAAAGCTCTATAAGTTGAGCAAAAAAATGTTTTATGGTAATTTTGGCACATTTGTCTTTTCTTTTGATAGCAAAAGGGTTAAAGAGACATCAGTAGAAACACTGCTCGTGAAAATCACACACTCTATGTTTTTGCAAATACGGGCCCTCAAATACAAAAAAAAAATGAAGTTGAGCTTACTGACTTGCAAAATGCATTGTGTACACTTTAGAGATGGTCTATTTTAGAAGTTTTTATTTTACGTCTTTACTGTCCTTGCTTTTGCATGGAGCGTCTCAAAAGGCTGCAACAAGACTGATCACATAATTGTGGGTTATGTAGAAACACTGGAACTGCAATGTTGTGATTGTTTTTTGCGAATCAGTGCTGCTCGAAATGCTTGTACATTATGACTCTATGCACGCTTACTGAATGCCTATGGTTTGTTCGCTTTGAATCATGCATAGAGCTAATTGTTTGTGTTAAGGTGACTTTTCACCTTCTAATGCATCTCTGTGCTGGAACAAACCCAGAAAGAAAGTAAGCGGCAAAGTCTTGGATGAATCTTTGTGTTTGTGGCCCACTCTTGCATTTTGATCGTCGTTATCTTGTGTGATTCATAAATGTCTCCTTTCTGTGACAATACTTTTAGTTTGTCCTAAGAGGCTCACTGGCAGAAATTGCAGGGCCGATTCGAAAAATGTGAGTTAAACTTCAATATAACAAAGTAATATGATTTGCTGATGTCCTGGTGAAGGATCACATCACGCATACATTCATAACGAAAGCAGCTCCAATGCACTGCCGTTATATGAGATAATTGAAGCAATCACGCCGATCCTACCTTCGCGGCTTGTCATCTGAGCCTCGTGTGTGGCTTACAGTGGTGTAACACTGATGCTGTCATGTTCACCGAACTGAACAGTCAAGCCGATCAGAAAGTAGCTTCTTTCGAGTTTGGGTACATAGTGAATGAGCTTTTCGTTATTCATTAACGAGTGGCAATGTGTTTTTTCCTCACTGATCAAGAACTGAAGGATAGTAACTTTTTTTCAACAACGCCCATGTTTCTAAACAATTGCAATCCCGTGCAGGATTACTAAGAGCTCATTTTTTTCGTTACTATTACTTCTACGCCTACTTATACGTGTTACTCGACATGCCCATCGGGAAGGTCTCGCGGTTATGGGGCTCGACTGCTGATCCAGAGGTCGGGGAGTTGAATACTGGCCGCAGGGACTGCATTTCGATGTAGGTGGAATATTGTAGAGGCTTGCGAACTTATATTCAGATGCACTTCACCGAACACCAGATTTCAAAATGGTTGTTTGGACGAGTTGGTGATTCGTGATGGTTTTTCGTATTTCACACCAACACCAGATGGTCAAGATTTACGGATCCCTCCTCTGTGGCGTCCCTCATGATCACATCGTGGTTTCGGGATGTAAAGCAGCATCAGCTATTATCTCTACTTTATGCACAGCAATAACAAAAACACTGAATTGGCCGCTGACGCACGGCATGCGTGGCAGTGTATAAAGAATTAGGCGATGCCTACAGATGTTAAATAGCGCATGACACGATGTGCCACGATTCCCACGTGCTATGCATGTGCCGTATGCTGTCCTTCTTTACCGCTCCAAAGGCGAGGAGAGCATCGAGTTTGCTTTCTTTCCCCGCAGATGCTGCCAGAAAACGAGCTGCTCTGTTGTGATGGCCACTTCTCGTTGCGTGGCACAGGATTAGAAAAATACTTTAGGAAGAACTGCGTAGAAGTCAACCATATGACCACTGGCACCAGCAGAAGTGTCTTTTATTGCCTTGAGCATTGAGACTTTACTATTGCGGTGGTAATTATGTGGACAGCCTCGACATGTTTCTTTCTTTGTGTCACCATCATGTCGCTTATGAAGTCCAAATCGTTGAAATCCTTAGCAGCATCATACAATCTAACCGCAAGTAATAGTCCGCAAGAGGGGGGTTGGGGGAGAGGCAACAAATGTGGCTGAAGCAGAGATCAAACGAGCAGGCCAATCTTTGTCGCTCTGAAATGCATGTGGTAAGATCCCCCCCACCTTATATATTGGCCTCTCCACCCCTTTTTAACAAGCGTATGAAAAGATATGAAGGGCAGCAACTGGGACTTTTGATTTTACAAGCATGGTCGTCGCTGGCGCGCCATTATATGGCTGTCTCGACAGCCATCAGCGAGCGTCTTGCATACCCTTCTATGTGCTGCACCCTCAACACGAACAAACTGTGTGAAAAGTTTGCCTCGAGTGGCCGTATTTTCTTACACAAGCGTTTTCTAAAGTTGTGGGAGATAGCATTAAAAAAAGTTAGCTGTCAGCCTCACATCGTATAATATTACAATTAGTTGCTATCCCATTCATTGATTCACCCTTGCAGTAAAACTGGGACTTAATGAAATTGTGGATAATCAAGCTTCATTCTATTCAGGCAAAAAATACACAGCATTCTCTGGACATGAACTTGTGAAAACTGAAATACTTTGTTGCAATGCAGATTTCGTTGTATCTAGGTATAACTGTATCCTTGGTCACTTAGTCATGTAGAAAGTGAGCTGCTCAATCTTATCGACGTATATGTGCAGTAGCTGAGAAGATATTTTGCTTATTCCTACATGCTTGGCTTTTGTTGCAAACATACAGTAAGCTAAAACAGAAGCTGTTAGCAGGGAAAACCTATTTACTTGTGGCTGGAAGCTATTCACTTGCTTGCAGTATGCAGGGTCTTGTTGATACGCTTTTTTTTTTGTACGATTTCGTGGTGCCAACGCTTGCAGTATCATTAATAAGCAAAACTGCCCAGTGTATTGTGAATTGGTATTATATGTTCTCCCGCAGAGGACTCTTTCTCGAATTTTTATTATCATTGTTTTCAAAGTATATGAACGAGGTCCTATTGTATTTATTGTTGTAGTGTATAGAAGTGTGTTAGGGTTACTCGGTTGCCATGGCACTCTACTGCTGCATGCATGGTTGGGGGTTTGATCCCCTGCTGTGACAGCAGTGTCTTGAAGACGCTGAAATGCAGAAAACATTCATGTACAGAGATTGATATGATGAGAGCTTCAGATAGCCAGAAATTAGATTGAAACCCTCCTCTACATGCTCTCTTGTAGTCATGGTGTCTCTTTGGGATTTAAGACACTGCCGTTTCCAAGAGCAACTCTAAAGTTGTCATTTAACTATGCACTAACGCTGGCACTTTCTCAGCTACTGTTTCTTGCTTTTGCCCCTACCTTTATGACCTGTGCCATCCAGTTCTTTAGTACATTGAAATTCTCACTCATCGGGCGATGCCCATCTTGGTGGCTTTAACTTAGTTCACTCTCAGTGCTAAGGCAGTTCTGCCCACTTCCCTGCCCACCGTAGTACGATCATGGAGTGCACAGTTGGGTAGCACTCCACATTAGTTTCGACTACCTGGACTTATCTGGTGTGTGTGTAGATCTAAAGATGCAGGTGTACTTGCATATTGCGCTCATTGAGATTCGGCCAAAATGTCTGGGAATCGAACCCGCTTCCTTGAGTTTTGCAGCAGAACCTAGCTACTAAGATAATGTGGTTTGATAAGTAAAACGCCACTATTGAAAAGACTGTAGGACTGGGCGTGTTGGTGCAGCATGACATCAGTGCAAATCGGCACCATCAACGGGAGGGGACAGAAGAAGGGACGCAGAGCGCTAGTATTCAAATTTTAAGCTACAGATGAGCCCCTTTACAAAAGACACTGATGTAAGAGACCATTACATGGAGACATCAGTATGTCTACCTTGGGGTTGATCTGAAAGTGAGATTGGTGTACCTCTGTTATGAGAGACATATGATAAGCAAAATACTGTTTCTCAGTGCGTGCCTCTTGTGAACGAGTTCAGCTGTAATTTATTTTCCTGTGAAATGGGATACTTTGTCTTTCCCGAGTAAGAACAAGTGCAATGCACTGCAGCACGAGGCATTATTTACTTGTTTTACTTTTAGTTTTTCTTATCTTCTGACTTCCATGCACTTTTGTGCACTCTTTTTTCCCATCTGTATCTCCCTGTAGGGCATTCTGGTCCATTTTTTTTTAAAGGCCTTAGCACAGTTTTTCATTAGACTGAATGCATGGATCAATGTGATGCTTTTGGATCAGTATATTCCCATATGAATGAAGGTTATAATGAAAGGAGCATTGATTGTACCCCCCTGCTTATGAGTTCCTGTGTGTTGGGCTGTGGTGCCAATATCAGTGTCCTGCCTGTCACTTTTTTTTTTGTGCCGAGCAACTTCGCTTACTTTTTCAAGCATCATCCTACAGTGGCACTCGCAGGGATCTAAGAACCAGCAGCAGGACTTTGAGTGTGTTTACTCTAATGGCCAAGTTCTTTCATGGGAAACTTAAAAAGCATTAAGTTGTTGTGTGCTCTGCCTTTTTAACTTCACGCTTGTC